ACCCACATTCCGTGTCCATGCTCTCGCGGTCTGGATCTAACCCACGGCCCCGGACCCTGGCCCTGCCCCGGCTGCCCCCGCACGCGCAGGAGCTCCAGGCCGGCCTGAGCCGCGACCTCGAGCGGAGGGGGAGGAGGAGGAGGAGGAGGAGGAGGAGGAGGAGGAGGAGGAGGAGGAGGAGGAGGAGGAGGAGGCGGCGCGGACCCATGGATATAAGTTCGGCGCAGGGCACCCTCGCAAGCCGTCTCGCATCCACGGGGTCGCGGCCGGGGAGCCCTGGCCTCGAGGCCGTCGATAGGAATCTGTATACTGCTCACTATCCTTGTCCTCCTTCTCGTCTTCTTTCCTCCCTCCTCGTCGCCGTCCTCCTATCGCCACCTCCTCATCTTTGTCCTCCTACCCCCTTCCTTGTCCTCCTTGTCCTCCCCATCCTCCCTCCCTCCACCTCCTCATCCTCCCCCCGTCGCTCACTCGCTGACCGATGGGCAAGAACGTCCGCAGTTCATGCTGAAAGGAGAGAGGAGGACAACGTACCCACCTCCAACAGTTCTCATGCAAAGGAGGGGGCGGAAGAGAAAGACAGACAGAGCCTGCCCTCCCCCCCCCCCGAAGCTGCGAACCTGGTCGTGCCAGCACTCCTCGTCGCCGTCCTCCTCACCTCCCCCTTCCTCCCCCTTCTCCCCGTTTCCCCTTCATCCATCAATTGCAGCAGGCATGCTCTCCTGTCTTCGGTTGCTCGTCCTCAGCCCGCGTTCTTCGTCTTTTTCTTCTCGACAATTACACCATGAGTACTGCCCTCCTCTCTCCCATGATGTCGTTCTGGTTGAAACATCTATCGCGTACGGTGCTTGCACGCAGGATGGGTCCAAGCTGCCTTCGGAAATTGCTTCGCCCAACCAGATTCTGTCCTGCCGTTGACCAGTGGTTCTCTCGTGTCTGCGTGTTCCATGTTTCACCATCTTCGGAAAGCTTCCGTCCAATGGGACGACGCCGTCGCAGCAGTGCTGACAGTAGGGGTTTTTCTCTTGCGTACAATCAGAGCGTTGACTGCCTTTGAGAAGTGGTGTTGTCGCTGGTGAGTTCGTCGTCACCGCTGGGGCAGCGCTGGTTGTACTCGTGCATGCAATAAGACGGTGTGCTGCCTTTGAAAGTGGTGTTCTCGCTGGTGCGTTCACCATATTTGGATTTCGCTGGGGGGCCTCCGCCTAACGGAACGACGCTGTCGCCACATCTGTGGAAGTACGGGCGTATTTTTGCATCCGTGAAAGTGATGACCCTGCTGCCGTGTTTGCCCCAGGTTTGCATTTCCATTGGTCTCCAAGGTATCGGTGCTCTCGCCGCAGCGCGGTCCGCAGGCATGCATCAGCAACAGTGGCGCTCCTCCTGCAGCGTGTGCCACATTGATTTCCATGGAGCTTCAGCATGTGTTTGTGTCTCCTCAGAGGTGGATATTGCATGCCGTGTTCTGCTGTGTGTCAAGCCGGGTACTGGGAAATCCCATGGTGATCAATGATTTTGTGTATGAGAGGTTTTGCGCATAGAGAGGACTCCGACGCAATGGAAAAAGGAATTGGGGCAGGAGTAGTACGTCGGATGTCACGCGAGCGCCCTCAGTCTGCCCCCCTCCTCTTCCTCTTATTATTATTGTTAATAGTATTGCTTCTTCTTAGTCTTCTTATTGTTATTGTTTTGTACGTATATTCGCAACACGAATCATATTAGTGTGATCTTTATTCCTACTAGTAGTATCGTTCCTCGTCTTATTCTTCTCCTTCTTCGGGAGAGCACCGCGAGCTCCGTTGATCCGGCACGGCGAGCAGACGCTGCCGCGCCCGCCGCGCGGCCGCGCGCGCCCTCGGCACACCCCGCCGCGCGCCGCCTGGCGCGACACGAGCGGGCCCCTCGGAGTGTGCAGCCTGGGGATAGCCAGCCAGCTCCCCTGCCCTGACCTGTGCTTCGAAGAAGAATGCGGCGGCGGCTTTGGATAAGGAGCGTATTCCTGGTGCCCAGAGACCCTGGCGCATCCCTTCTTGTTTCAAGGCGAGGTGGGTGGCCCGCGTTTGGCCGCCCATCGGTAGCGAGACCCTGGGTTCCTTATCGAAGGCAGTCTTATCTAAAACCTCCACCGTACGCAGAAGCATAAACTGTTGGTGCTCCGCGCGGATTTCTTGGACCGTCGCCTGGCCCCCCCCCGGCGGCGTCTCTGGCGCAGCCCCTGGCGCGCTCCGCGCGCCTGGGAGGGGGGTCCAGCGCAGATCCAAGACATCCGCGCGGAGCGCTAACATCTTATGTTTATGTTTTTTCCTCATTCTAGTTTTAAGTCGGGCACGTCCCTCTACAGGAGGAATGTTCAGAAATAGTGAAAGATAATCCGGGGACGACATTTTCACTATTTTGACAGTTGGGAGTGTTTGTTTTACTATGTTCATTTGTCGTCCAAAATCCGCCTGCCCCCTCAAGGGCCCACTACGATACGACGACGACGACAACGACGACGACGGAAGACGACGACGGGAAGACGGACCCCCCGGCACGACCCCCAAGGGCCAGCCAGAACGGTGGACCGCGCGCTTGGCGACCCCCTTCCTCCTCTTCCCTTCCTCCTCCCCCTCCTCCTCCTCCTCTTCCTCCTCCCTCCTCCTCCTCCTCCTCCTCCTCCTCCTCCTCCTCCCCCTCCTCCTCCTCCTCCTCCTCCTCCTCCTCCTCCTCCTCCTCCTCCTCCCCCTCCTCCTCCCCCTCCTCTTGCCCTCCTCTCCCCCTCCTCTCCCCCCTTCGTCCACCCGCGAGGTCCGGTGCAGGTCCCTGGTCGTCCAGGACGCCCGCAGGAGCGCGCGCAACGCGGACAAGGCCCCTCTGGGGGGAGGGCACACCGCCCAGAGAGGGTCCAGAAGCCGCTGTGGTCCTCCCCTCCTCCGCTCCCCCCCTCCTCCCTCCTCCCCTCCTCCCCATCCTCCCCTCCTCCCCTTCCCCCTCCTCCTCCCCTCCCTCCTCCTCCCCTCCTCCCTCCTCCCCTCCTCCCTCCCCGCAGCTCCCGAGAGCACCCCCCTTGGACGACAAGAGAGCGCGTATCTGTTTCAGGCGCTCGCAGTCGTCGGCGCCGAGCGGGGCTCGCACCGCGAGGTTCGAGCCGGGTTTTGAGGATGCTCGGCCTCTGGGGGCCGTTTTCGGGCCCCGGGGGCCCCCGAAATTCGATCCGGGCTGAAAAACCGATTGGACGGACCCCGGGAGGGGTCCGGGGACCCATGTTGATCGATATTCGGCGTCGCGCCAGGGAGGGGGAAGTGAGAAGGAGAAGGCCTGCTCAGAAGGCGGTGGGACTTCTCAGAAGCCTGCGCCTCTTCCGAGAAGTGTTCTACGTTTTCGGGGAAGGCTTAGACAACTTCTCAGGAAGGCCAGGGGACTTCCGAGCTTTCTGAGAAGGCCTTCTCCTTCTCACTTCCCCCCCCCTCGCTCGCCGCCGAGAAAATGTTTCTACCGCGCCTCTAGGTAGCGGAACTCTGTTGGTAACAGTTTTGCGTGCGCACCGGTTGCAGCAGGTGTATAGGTGGCTTTGATGGTGGACATGTAACGCGAAGTTGATAACACTGCTACACATTCTTTGTACACCATCAAGACGCGTTAGAACACGTGCAGACACTGATGGCGTAGTTTAGACAGTATTCAGGCAGGGCTCGTGTCTAAAAAATGCCCACCTGAAATTCAGCACCTGGTTAGACACGGCATGCCATGACAATTGTGATGATGATGGTTCTTCGCTTGCAGGATGGGGTGTTCTGCTGAAGTGTCGACCGCTCATGCTGGGAACAGTGATGCTGATGCCAGGACTGATCGATCACGACTCAAGACGTGCGCGACTCAGTGATGCTGATGATTGGGAACAGTAATGCTGAGGCCGTGTTCGTCGCGCACGTTCTCAGGACGTGCGCGACGAATACGATAGCCTTGGAGGCGTTGGAGGGGGAGGGGGTCTGGAAGACGAGGGTGGAGGTGGAAGGAAGACGGGAGGGCACCAGACGAGAAGGATACGGAGGACTGACAAAACAACCAAAAAGGGATGAGGAAGGGGCAGGCGGAGGCGGGAGGAGGACGCGCAAGAGGAGGAAGCGTCAGGGCTCGATGGCGTCGAGGAGAACCGGGGGTAAAGGAAAGGAAGGCCGTGGAGGAGCCAGGAATTGATAACGGGGAGAGGGTGTAGGAGGAGGGGGTCCGCACCAGGGCAGGGAAGGGCGAGGGAACAGGTTGGAAAGGACGAAAAGGAGGAGGATTGCGAGAATCAAGAACGGGGAATCGGGAAGAGCAGCAGTGCGAGAAAGTATTGAAGACGCTGATGGGAGAGAGGAGTGGAGAGGGGGGGCAGAGGTCAGAAAGGGAAGAGGAAACAATATGGATGGGGGATCGATTGAGGAGGACCAGGAGGGGAAGAAAGGCGAAGAGAAGGGGAGAGAGGGGGGGAGAAATGGAACAACGGCAGAGAAGATACCTGGAGCGGGAGAGCACTGAGGAAGTATAGTATCGCGTTGCGTACACACGGGCGCACCACTGAACACAAAACATTACCATCCTCTTCTTTCTACACAGAATTGGGACAACATTCGGTCATGGCGTTCTACATACATATCTGTATACATGTGTAAATATACATATATATATATATATATATATATATATAAATAGATATCGGAGTAGGCCAGGGGGGGGGCCGGGCCAGTGCCATCATCCCCCATGGGCGCCCCCCGGGACCTTTGGGGGGTTGCAGAACCCCCGGGACTGCCCTGGGCCGCTTCCAAATTGCCCACGACAGGCCACGCGGGCCGTACAGATGGTCAAGAAAGCCTCAAGAGGCCCCGAAGACGCCCAAGAGCGCCCCAAGAGGGCCCGAGATGGCTTGAAGATGGCCGACGAGGGCCCAAGAGGGCCTTCAAGAGGCAAACATCGGCCCATTCCCATCGTAAAGCGTACGTCTTCAGCATACCCGCTGGCTTCGTCTTCACAGTGCCCGAGACGCCCCCGAGGAGCCCCAACACAGTCCAAGAGAGACCCAAGAGGGCCCCAGACGGCCCAAAAGGGTCGGCCTGTGGGGCTCACGGAGCCCCCCAAGACAGCCCAAGGAGCCCCAACCAGGAGGCCCCCAAGACGGCCTCAGGGAGGCCCAAGAGGGCCTCGTTCGAAATCATGTTCCCGGAAGCCTCTCCGGGAACATGACTTTCGGGCTCCCAGGACGCCCAAGAGGCCCACAAGACAGCCTCAGCGAGGCCCAAGAGGGCCCGAGATGGCTTGAAGATGGCCGAAGCGGGCCTCAAGAGGGCCTTCAAGAGGCAAAAATCGGCCCATTCCCCTCGTCAAACGTACATTTTCAGCATACTCGCTTGCTTCCTCTTCACAGTGCCCGAGACGCCCCCGAAGAGCCCCAACACAGCCCAAGAGAGACCCAAGAGGGCCCCAGACGGCCCGAAAGGGTCGTCCGAGCCCCCCAGGACGGCCCAAGAGGCCCCAAAGTCGGCCCAGGAGGCCCCCGAGACGGCCTCAGGGAGGCCCGCAGCCATTTTGGCTCAAGCCGGTTCTGATTCAAGGCTGTTGGCGCTCGAGGCGTCCGGGCGCGCAGCGTATAACCATCGGCACGGGATGGCGGCAACAAGGCGTACCTCCTGCCTCCTCAGCGCCGCGCTGCTCAGCGCCGGCCTCCTGCTGGCCCTGCAGGGCAGCACGGCCTTCGTGCCGACCGCTGCGCGTTGCGGCCCCTCGGCCGAGGCGGTGGCCCTCGGCCTGACCGCGCCCGCGCTGCTGGGCGCGTCGGCCGCGGTCGCCGGGGAGCCGCCCAGCGTCGGGGACCACTGGTACTGGGACCTCGGCTTCGGCTCCCTCCACGGCGAGACCGCGTCCATCATCCTGCTGGTCTTCTTCCTCTACCTCGGCTTTGCGCTCATCGGCGCCGGCGGCTCCTCCAGGAAGACCGCGTGAGCCGCGGCGGGCCGGCTTCTGCGGCCTCGCGGCGTGAGGTCCCCCCTCCTCCGCGGCGGGAGGGGGAGCGGCCGGCCAGCCAAATGGCGACGCTGTTGTGTTTAGCCCCCCCCGAAAAAAAGACGGCCTCCGGGAGGCCCATGCCTCGTTCGACATCATGTGCCCCGACGCCTCTCCGGGAACAGGACTTCCGGGCTCCCAGGACGCCCAAGAGGCCCAGAAGACAGCCTCAGCGAGGCCCCAGAGGGCCCGAGATGGCTTCAGGACGGCCGAAGAGGGCCCCAAGAGGGCCTTCAAGAGGCAAACATCGGCCCATTCCCTTCGTCAAACGTCAATTTCAGCATTCTCGCTTGCTTCGTCTTCACAGTGCCCGAGACGCCCCCGAGGACTCCCAAGACAGCCCAAGAGAGACCCAAGAGGGCCCAAGACGGCCTAAAAAAGATCGTCTCGTGGGGCTCACGGAACCCCCCAAGACGGCCCAGGAGGCCCCGAAGCCGGCCCAGGAGGCCCCCAAGACAGCCTTAGGGAGGCCCAAGAGGGCCCCGTTCGAAATCATGTTCCCGGAAGCCTCTCCAGGAACATGACTTCGGGGTTCCCAGGACGCCCAAGAGGCCCACAAGACAGCCTCAGCGAGGCCCCAGAGGGCCCGAGATGGCTTGAAGATGGCCGAAGAGGGCCCCAAGAGGGCCTTCAAGAGGTAAACATCAGCCCGTTCCCTCAGTAAAACGTGCATTTTCAGCATACTCCCTTGCTTCGCCTTCGCAGTGCCCCAGACACCCCCGAGGAGCCCCAAGACAGCCCAAGAGAGACCCAAGAGGGCCCCAGACGGCACGAAAGGGTCGTCCTGTGGGGCTCACGGAGCCCCCCAGGACGGCCCAAGAGGCCCCGAAGCCGGCCCAGGAGGCCCCCAAGACGGCCTCCAGGAGGCCCAAGAGGGCTTCGTTTGACATCATGTTCCCGGAAGCCTTCTCCAGGAACATGATTTCCGGGCAAAGACAGCCCCCAGAGGCCCCGGACTTGCCGAAGATGGCCTCAGGACGGCCGACGACGCCGCCAAAACGCCCCAAGAGCGCCTCCAGAGGCCCCTCCAAAGGGCTCCAGAAGCCGAACATTATCAATTTTCCATAGGTTTTTTAAGCATTCTTGCGCTCTCCCATGTTCCGCCTCCCCACGGTCCCGGACCGCGTCACAGGCCCTCCAGATCGCTCCAAGACAGCCGAAGAGGCTCCCAAGAAAGCCCAGAGACGGCCCAGGAGGATCCCCAGATAAGTCAAGAGGGCCGAGCCCCAAGAGCGACCCCCCGAAGAGCGCGACATTTCAAGGTATCCGGCCTGAGAGGCTCCTAGGACGCCCCCGGAGGCCATCAAGAGGCTCCCAAGAAGCCCCGTGAGGCTCCGAAGAGGCCCCCCGGAAGCCCCAACAGGCCCTCAAGGGGCCCCCAGGGAAGCCCCCTGCGGGCCCCCAAGACACTTCGGTAAATCGTATTTCCCAGATAGCTTTCCGGGAACATGATTCCTTGGGCTTCCGCCCACCGCCCCAACCATGTTTCCAATAGGCTTGCCGACAAGGCCAACAGGCGCCCCTCGGCGAGCCCCCAGAGGCCCCCCTCTTAGAGAGCCGAACAGATCATGCTCCCGGAAAGCTTCCCGGGAACATGATTTTCTATCTCGGAGTACAGTCGGGGCCCTGAAGAAGAAACCCTTTTGGTTGGAGAGGGGCTCCGTGTTCCTTAATTGTTTCGCAGCTTGCCTCAGGTTGTCCTTAGGTTTTCGATATGAAATCGAAGTTTAACTTATGGAAAATAAGGGCCTCGTTCCTTATTTAGGGTTCCTTAGGTCAAGGCCCCGACTGTAGGCCCGGGAGGGGGGGGCGGGCCGCTGCCTGTTCCC